GGAGACAGGGAGGGAGACAGGCAGGGAGGGAGGCAGGGAGGGAGGCAGGGAGGGAGACAGGGAGGGAGGCAGGGAGGGAGGCAGGGAGGGAGGCAGGGAGGGAGGCAGGGAGGGAGACAGGGAGGGAGGCAGGGAGGGAGGCAGGGAGGGAGGCAGGGAGGGAGACAGGGAGGGATGCAGGGAGGGAGGCAGGGAGGGAGGGAGCCAAAGAGGGAGGGAGGCAGGAAGGGAGAGAGGCAGGGAGGGAGGCAGGGAAGGAGACAGGGAGGGAGACAGGGAGGGAGAGACATAGGGAGAGAGGCAGGGAGGGAGGCAGGGAGGGAGGTAGGGAGGGAGACAGGGAGGGAGGCAGGGAGGGAGACAGGGAGGGAGGCAGGGAGGGAGGCAGGGAGGGAGACAGGGAGGGAGGCAGGGAGGGAGAGACACAGGGAGGAGAGGCAGGGAGGGAGGCAGGGAGGGAGGCAGGGAGGGAGGTAGGGAGGGAGACAGGGAGGGAGGCAGTGAGGGAGACAGGGAGGGAGGCAGGGAGGGAGACAGGGAGGGAGGCAGGCAGGGAGGAAGGGAGGGAGGCAGGGAGGGAGGCAGAGAGGGAGAGAGGCAGGAAGGGAGGCAGGGAGGGGAGACAAGGAGGGAGGCAGGGAGGGAGAGAGGCAGGGAGGGAGGCAGGGAGGGAGGCAGGGAGGGAGGCAGAGAGAGGAGACAGGGAGGGAGGCAGGGAGGGAGACAGGGAGGGAGGCAGGGGGGGAAGGAGGGAGGCAGGCAGGGAGGGAGGCAGGCAGGAAGGGAGGAAGGGAGGGAGGCAGAGAGGGAGGCAGGAAGGGAGAGAGGCAGGGAGAGGGGCAGAGAGGGAGGCAGGGAGGGAGGCAGAGAGGGGAGACAGGGAGGGAGACAGGCAGGGAGGGAGGCAGGGAGGGAGGCAGGGAGGGAGGCAGGGAGGGAGGCAGGGAGGGAGGCAGGGAGAGAGGCAGGGAGGGAGGCAGGGAGGGAGACAGGGAGGGAGGCAGGGAGGGAGGCAGGGAGGGAGGCAGGGAGGGAGGCAGGGAGGCAGGAAGGGAGGGAGGCAGGGAGAGGGGCAGGGAGGGAGGCAGGGAGGGAGGCAGGGAGGGAGACAGGGAGGGAGACAGGCAGGGAGGGAGGCAGGGAGGGAGGCAGGGAGGGAGGCAGGGAGGGAGGCAGGGAGGGAGACAGGGAGGGAGACAGGGAGGGAGGCAGGGAGGGTTAGTGCCTCACATTCAACCTACGATATCACTGACATGGATAACCCTAATAATCATAATAATAATAATAATAATAATAATAATAATAATAATAATATAATAATAATAATAATAATAATAATAATAATAATTATTATTATTATTATTATTATTATTATTATAATAATAATAATAATAATAATAATAATAATAATAATAATAATAATAATAATAATAATAATAAATAATAATTAATTATTTCTTTTACCTGGTATAACAAAATGTCTGAGCCACTGGTGTCAGGAGGTGTTCCATCTTATACATCACACTGGTGTCAGGAGGTGTTCCATCTTATACATCACACTGGTGTCAGGAGGTGTTCCATCTTATACATCACACTGGTGTCAGGAGGTGTTCCATCTTATACATCACACTGGTGTCAGGAGGTGTTCCATCTTATACATCACACTGGTGTCAGGAGGTGTTCCATCTTATACATCACACTGGTGTCAGGAGGTGTTCCATCTTATACATCACACTGGTGTCAGGAGGTGTTCCATCTTATACATCACACTGGTGTCAGGAGGTGTTCCATCTTATACATCACACTGGTGTCAGGAGGTGTTCCATCTTATAGATCACACTGGTGTCAGGAGGTGTTCCATTCTTATACATCACACTGGTGTCAGGAGGTGTTCCATCTTATAGATCACACTGGTGTCAGGAGGTGTTCCATCTTATAGATCACTCTATGAGGACCTGACCTGGAGTTTACCTGAAGAGGGTTTCGGGGATCAACGCCTCCGCGACCCGGTCTGAGACCAGGCCTCATTGTGGATCAGGGTCTGATCAACCAGGCTGTTACTGCTGGCCGCACGCAAGCTGACGTACGATCCACAGCCCGGTTAGTCAGGTACTGACTTTAGATGCCTGTCCAGTACCTTGTTGAAGACAGCCAGGGGTCTATTGGTAATCCCCCTCATTTATGCTGGGAGGCAATTGAACAGTCTTGGGTCCCGGATACTTGTGTTGTCTCTCAGTGTACTCGTGGCGCCCCTGCTTTTCATCGGGGGAATGTTGCATCTCCTGCCGAGTCTTTTGCTTTCATATGGAGTGATTTTCGTGTGCAGGTTTGGTACCAATCCCTCCAGGACCTTCCAAGTGTATATTACCATGTATCTCTCTCGCCTGCGTTCGAGGGAATGCAGATCAAGGACCTTCAACCGTTCCCAGTAGTTTAGGTGCCTTATCGCACTTATGTGTGCCGTGAAAGTTCTTTGTACACTCTCCAGGTCTGCAATATCACCAGCCTTGAAGCGGGCCGTTAGTGTACAGCAGTATTCCAGCCTAGAGAAAACAAACGATTTGAAGAGAATCATCATGGGCTTGGCGTACGTAGTTTTGAAGGTTCTCATGATCCATCCTATCATTTTCCTAGATACATTGTTGTGGTCTTTGAAGGCGAGATCCTCTGACATTATCATTCCCAGGTCCTTCACATTACTTTTCCGCTCTATTGTATTATTAAAATTTGTGGTATACCCTGACACATTTTTAATTTCTTCAAGTTTTCCAGGTCTGAGTAGTTGAAATTTCCCCTCGTTGAACCTCATATTGTTTTGAGTGGCCCATTCGAAGATTTGGTTGATGTCCGCTTGGAGTCTCACAGTGTCTTCGATGCAGGTCACTGTCATGGTGATCCGGGGGTCATCCGCAAAGGAAGACACGGAGCTATGGCTTACATCTCTGTGTCAGAAATGAGGATGGGGAATAGAATGGGAGGGAGTACTGTACCTTGTGGAACAGAGCTTTTTACCATGGCTGCCTGGGACTTTACTCTGTTTACTATTACTCTGTGTTCTATTTGTCAGGAAGTTATAGATACATCTACCAACTTTTCCTGTTATTCCTTTATCCCGCATTTTGTGTGCTATTACACCATGGTCACACTTGTCGTAAGCTTTTGCAAAGTCTGTGTATACTACATCTGTGTTTTGTTTATCCTCTACAGCATCCAGGACCTTGTCATAGTAGTCCAGTAGCGGGGACAGGCAGGAACGACCTGCTCTAAACCCGTGTTGTCCACCTGGAGTTTACCTGGAGAGAGTTCCGGGGGTCAACGCCCCCGCGGCCCGGTCTGTGACCAGGCCTCCTGGTGGATCAGAGCCTGATCAACCAGGCTGTTGCTGCTGGTTGCACGCAAACCAACGTACGAGCCACAGCCCGGCTGATCAGGAACTGACTTTAGGTGTTTGTCCAGTGCCAGCTTGAAGACTGCCAGGGGTCTGTTGGTAATCCCCCTTATGTGTGCTGGGAGGCAGTTGAACAGTCTCGGGCCCCTGACACTTATTGTATGGTCTCTTAACGTGCTAGTGACACCCCTGCTTTTCATTGGGGGGATGGTGCATCATCTGCCAAGTCTTTTGCTTTCGTAGTGAGTGATTTTCGTGTGCAAGTTCGGTACTAGTCCCTCTAGGATTTTCCAGGTGTATATAATCATGTATCTCTCCCTCCTGCGTTCCAGGGAATACAGGTTTAGGAACCTCAAGCGCTCCCAGTAATTGAGGTGTTTTATCTCCGTTATGCTCGCCGTGAAAGTTCTCTGTACATTTTCTAGGTCGGCAATTTCACCTGCCTTGAAAGGTGCTGTTAGTGTGCAGCAATATTCCAGCCTAGATAGAACAAGTGACCTGAAGAGTGTCATCATGGGCTTGGCCTCCCTAGTTTTGAAGGTTCTCATTATCCATCCTGTCATTTTTCTAGCAGATGCGATTGATACAATGTTATGGTCCTTGAAGGTGAGATCCTCCGACATAATCACTCCCAGGTCTTTGACGTTGGTGTTTCGCTCTATTTTGTGGCCAGAATTTGTTTTGTACTCTGATGAAGATTTAATTTCCTCATGTTTACCATATCTGAGTAATTGAAATTTCTCATCGTTGAACTTCATATTGTTTTCTGCAGCCCACTGAAAGATTTGGTTGATGTCCAGGGTTGTGTAATTGATGAGTATCTAAGTAGTTCGCGATCTTGCTTCTTAGAACCCTCTCAAAGATTTTTATGATATGGGATGTCAGAGCTATCGGTCTGTAGTTCTTTGCAACTGTTTTACTGCCACCTTTGTGGAGTGGGGCTATGTCTGTTGTTTTTAGTGTGTGGGATGACCCTTGTGTCCATGCTCCCTCTCCATAAGATGTTGAAGAAAAGTGATAGGGGCTTCTTACAGTTCTTGATGAACACGGAGTGGTGATGGTAGGCTGTGTGAGGCTCTGTGGTGGTGATGGTAGGCTCTGTGAGGCCCTGTGGTAGTGTTGGTAGGCTCTATGTGACTGTGGTGGTGGTAGGCTCTGTGAGGGCCTGTGGTGGTGACGGTAAGCTCTATGTGACTCTGTGGTGGTGGTGGGCTCTATGAGGCTCTTTTGTGGTGGTGGTGTTGGTGGGGTCTATGAGGTTCTATGGCGTTGGTAGGCTCTATAAGGTTCTGTGGCGCATGAAGGCTCTGTAAGGCTTTGTGGTGCTGGAAGGCTCTGTAAGGCTCTGTGGTGGTTTTAGGTTCTATCAGGCTTTGTGGTGTTGGAAGGCTCTATAAGGCTCTGTGGTGGTGTTAGGCTCCATTAGGTTCCTTAGGCTCTGTCTTCCACTAACAAAAGTTGGTGAAAGTTGTGAATTTTGGTTTGGTTATGAAGGGAATTTCTCTCTCTCTCTCTCTCTCTCTCTCTCTCTCTCTCTCTCTCTCTCTCTCACCTGTCAATCTCTCTGTCACATCTAGTGTCTCTGACCCCCGTCTCTGTCTCCCCATCACAGCTGCAGTACCCTATGACAGTGAACCCGGCGTACAAGTTCGGGACGGTAGAGGAGACCAACTCAGCCATGGTACTCAAGAAACATCACTCACTCATGTACAGCTATATGGTCCGGCATAACTTCAACAGACCATACGTCCAAGATGGCGTCAAGTCCATCAAGAAGAAGTAAGTCCCAATATATATATATATATATATATATATATATATATATATATATATATATATATATATATATTATATATATATTATATATATATATATATATATATAATACATAATATAATATAATATGCAGTAATCGCGAACGAACACCACGGAATGCAAAATAACCACGGGGGGTGGGTGGGGGGGGAGTTGGGGAGTTGAATGGTTTCTCTAGGCCTTTCGTGTTGCATCAGGAGGTTGCAGTGTTGCATTAGGAGGTTGCAGTGTTGCATCAGGAGGTTGCAGTGTTGCATCAGGAGGTTGCAGTGTTGCATCAGGAGGTTGCAGTGTTGCATCAGGAGGTGGCAGTGTTGCATCAGGAGGTTGCAGTGTTGCATCAGGAGGTTGCAGTGTTGCATCAGGAGGTTGCAGTGTTGCATCAGGAGGTTGCAGTGTTGCATCAGGAGGTTGCAGTGTTGCATCAGGAGGTTGCAGTGTTGCATCAGGAGGTTGCAGTGTTGCATCAGGAGGTGGCAGTGTTGCATCAGGAGGTTGCAGTGTTGCATCAGGAGGTTGCAGTGTTGCATCAGGAGGTGGCAGTGTTGCATCAGGAGGTTGCAGTGTTGCATCAGGAGGTTGCAGTGTTGCATCAGGAGGTTGCAGTGTTGCATCAGGAGGTTGCAGTGTTGCATCAGGAGGTTGCAGTGTTGCATCAGGAGGTTGCAGTGTTGCATCAGGAGGTTGCAGTGTTGCATCAGGAGGTTGCAGTGTTGCATCAGGAGGTTGCAGTGTTGCATCAGGAGGTTGCAGTGTTGCATCAGGAGGTTGCAGTGTTGCAGAAACAAAGCAGAAAGGTCTTCCTTGACAGCCAATCACATGGACTGCTCTTCCTGTTCTTCCTGCTATATTTCTGCGACACTGCAAGCTCCTGATGATGTGTTGATTCCAACATGAAAGGCCTAGAGCTGTCACTCAACTCCCTCCTGTGAGACTCACTGAAAACATTCAAGCAGAGGCTTAATGTATTTGGTGTGAAAATGAGCTGCCTAGCATGGGCCAGTAGGCACCCCTCTGGCTAAATTTAATAGTCTATTTTGGACAAAACTGATGGGTTTAGATAGGCCTCACTAGGCCTGTTGTGTCACGTAGAGGCGAGACGACCCAAAACAAAAGAGAAAACCGTGATAACCATCGTCCAGTTAGTTCACTACCTGGAGACCAGGAACCCTACCTGGAGACCAGGAACACTACCTGGAGACCAGGAACCCTACCTGGAGACCGGGAACACTACCTGGAGACCAGGAACCCTACCTGGAGACCAGGAACCCTACCTGGAGACGAGGAACACTACCTGGAGACCAGGAACACTACCTAGAGACCAGGAACACTGCCTAGAGACCAGGAATCCTATCTGGAGATCAGAAATACCACCTGGAGACCAGGAACCCTACCTGGAGACCAGGAACCCTACCTGGAGACCAGGAACCCTACCTGGAGACCAGGAACCCTATCTGGAGACCAGGTACCCTACCTGGAGACCAGGAACCCTACCTGGAGACCAGGAACCCTACCTGGAGACCAGGAACACTACCTGGAGACCAGGAACACTGCCTAGAGACCAGGAATCCTACCTGTAGATCAGGAACACCACCTGGAGACCAGGAACCCTACCTGGAGACCACGAACCCTACCTGGAGACCAGGAACCCTGCCTGGAGACCAGGAACCCTACCTGGAGACTAGGAACCCTACCTGGAGACCAGGAACCCTACCTGGAGGCCAGGAACCCTACCTGGAGGCCAGGAACCCTACCAGGAGACCAGGAACACCACCTGGAGACCAGGAACCCTACCTGGAGACCAGGAACACTACCTGGAGACCAGGAACCCTACCTGGAGGCCAGGAACCCTACCTGGAGGCCAGGAACCCTACCAGGAGACCAGGAACACCACCTGGAGACCAGGAACCCTACCTGGAGACCAGGAACACTACCTGGAGACCAGGAACACTACCTGGAGACCAGGAACCCTACCTGGAGACCAGGAATCGTACCTGGAGACCAGGAGCCCTACATGGAGACCAGAAACTCTACCTGGAGACCAGGAACACCACCTGGAGACCAGGAACCCTACCTGGAGACCAGGAACCCTACTTGGAGACCAGGAACACCACCTGGAGACCAGGAACCCTACCTGGAGACCAGGATCACTACCTGGAGACCAGGAACACCACCTGGAGACCAGGAACCCTACCTGGAGACCAGGAACTCTACCTGGAGACCAGGAACCCTACCTGGAGACCAGAAACACCATCTGGTGACCAGGAACCCTTCCTGGAGTCCAGGAACCATACCTGAAGACCAGGAACCCTACTTGGAGACCAGGAACCCTACCTGGAGACCAGGAACCCTACCTGGAGACCAGGAACCCTACCTGGAGACCAGAAACACCACCTGGAGACCAGGAACCCTACCTGGAGACCAGGAACCCTACCTGGAGACCAGGAACCCTACCTGGAGACCAGAGAAACTGAGAGAGAGAGAGAGAGAAAGAGAGGAGAGAGAGAGAGGAGAGAGAGAGAGAGAGAGAGGAGAGAGAGAGAGAGAGAGAGAGAGAGAGGAGAGAGAGAGAGAGAGAGAGAGAAGTAGTATTTCCAGACTTAAAGACAGTCCTGAACATCAACGCAACAGACATCAACACAACAGACATCAACAGACATCAACACAACAGACATCAAACAGACATCAACACAACAGACATCAACAGACATCAACACAACAGACATCAACAGACATCAACACAACAGACATCAACACAACAGACATCAACACAACAGACATCAACAGACATCAACACAACAGACATCAACAGACATCAAACACAACAAACATCAACAGACATCAAACACAACAGACATCAACAGACATCAACAGACATCAACACAACAGACATCAACACAACAGACATCAACACAACAGACATCAACACAACAGACATCAACAGACATCAACACAACAGACATCAACACAACAGACATCAACACAACAGACATCAACAGACATCAACACAACAGACATCAACACAACAGACATCAACACAACAGACATCAACACAACAGACATCAACAGACATCAACACAACATACATCAACAGATATCAACACAACAGACATCAACAGACATCAACACAACAGACATCAACAGACATCAACACAACAGACATCAACAGACATCAACACAACACACATCAACACAACAGACATCAACACAACAGACATCAACACAACAGACATCAACAGACATCAACACAACAGACATCAACACAACACACATCAACACAACAGACATCAACACAACAGACATCAACACAACAGACATCAACAGACATCAACACAACAGACATCAACAGACATCAACACAACAGACATCAACAGACATCAACACAACAGACATCAACAGACATCAACACAACAGACATCAACACAACAGACATCAACAGACATCAACACAACAGACATCAACAGACATCAACACAACAGACATCAACAGACATCAACACAACAGACATCAACACAACAGACATCAACAGACATCAACACAACAGACATCAACACAACAGACTTCAACAGACATCAACACAACAGACATCAACAGACATCAACACAACAGACATCAACAGACATCAACACAACAGACATCAACAGACATCAACACAACAGACATCAACACAACACACATCAACACAACAGACATCAACACAACAGACATCAACAGACATCAACACAACAGACATCAACAGACATCAACAACAACAGACATCAACACAACAGACATCAACACAACAGACATCAACACAACAGACATCAACACAACAGACATCAACAGACATCAACACAACAGACATCAACACAACAGACATCAACACAACAGACATCAACACAACAGACATCAACAGACATCAACACAACAGACATCAACACAACAGACATCAACACAACAGACATCAACAGACATCAACACAACAGACATCAACAGACATCAACACAACAGACATCAACACAACAGACATCAACACAACAGACATCAACACAACAGACATCAACAGACATCAACACAACAGACATCAACACAACAGACATCAACAGACATCAACAGACATCAACACAACAGACATCAACACAACAGACATCAACACAACAGACATCAACACAACAGACATCAACACAACAGACATCAACACAACAGACATCAACACAACAGACATCAACAGACATCAACACAACAGACATCAACACAACAGACATCAACACAACAGACATCAACACAACAGACATCAACACAACAGACATCAACACAACAGACATCAACACAACAGACATCAACAGACATCAACACAACAGACATCAACACAACAGACATCAACACAACAGACATCAACACAACAGACATCAACAGACATCAACACAACAGACATCAACAGACATCAACACAACAGACATCAACACAACAGACATCAACAGACATCAACACCAACAGACATCAACAGACATCAACACACAGACATCAACACAACACACATCAACAGACATCAACACAACACACATCAACAGACATCAACACAACAGACATCAACACAACACACATCAACACAACAGACATCAACACAACACACATCAACACAACAGACATCAACACAACAGACATCAACAGACATCAACACAACAGACATCAACACAACAGACATCAACAGACATCAACACAACAGACATCAACAGACATCAACACAACAGACATCAACACAACAGACATCAACAGACATCAACACAACAGACATCAACACAACAGACATCAACACAACAGACATCAACAGATATCAACACAACAGACATCAACAGACATCAACACAACAGACATCAACACAACAGACATCAACAGACATCAACACAACACACATCAACACAACAGACATCAACACAACAGACATCAACACAACAGACATCAACACAACAGACATCAACACAACA